TGCCGAACCTGCCTCAAACGCTTTTCGAGAGTGGTCAAAGCCTCGCCCCCAAAGAGCTGTCGGACACAAGCGACCTTAGCCTGCTCCTCCTGTGCTTCCTCCAAGATGTCGGCGATCTCGCTCCCCCCGGAGTGTGCCTGCAGAATCTGAAGCCATCCCGTGTACACGATGGCCCACCTCTCATCTTCAAGGAGTCTGCCACGACTGAAAGGCTTAGCCGTAAAGCTGAGAACGGAGTCAGGGCATACACTCGGCATGCCAGCACTCGTCGAGGACACTGAAGATTGTACAGGCATCACTCTGAAGTCCGAAGCACTCTCTGCCGCAAGCATGGGTTCAGAGACTAGAGGTGTGCTTCCAAAAACCAATGCCAAGGCCCCGGACTCCCACGGTAGTGCCAGTCCTTCGAGCCTCCCAGAGGCTGACATGGCCTCCAGAATCATGCTGTCGAGAGCTGCATTGAACGAGGAGTCCATGATGGCAGACCCGAGCACTACCCTAAAGGCGACCCTGCAAACCATTAAAAGGCAAAACTGCAGACGGGCTTCACAATCCTGCCCATGTCCCAAAGTGAAGCAGAGGCTACCAAGAGCAAGGAGGCCGGTTTACACACGCAGAAAAGGCCGAGTCCTCAGTCGCGATCACCAGCCAAGCTGGCGGAACTGGCAGCTCCGTCGCTAAACGTGCAAATTGCTTGCAGTGCCTGCCCAGGAAAAGGTGCCCGCAAAAGAGCACAAGAGGGCAGCGTTGGCAGCGAAAGCCCTGCGGAAGGCATCTGAACGATCCCAGCACGAGTCTGCAACATGTGCTCGTTGAAAATGACAGCATTCAAAGGAAATTTGCGCTTGCCCGAGCAATGCTGGGCTGAATCTGGAGAAACAGATGTGGAATTCGTCATGACAATGCGTCCCTTAGTCCAAAGTGTTCAAATCAATCTGGGGACAGGCTAAGGCGAACTGGTGCCCGATCAGCAAGAGCTGGGCCTGCAAGCTTTCTGTGAAGCGTTGTCTCCACACCAGCAACCTGCCCACCTCAGGCGATATTCTGTTGGAGACCTCTGTAAGTTCGGTCACGAGATGCCGCAGAATGGACACCTCTGACTGGAGAGGAATCCCTTGCGAGCCCACCAGTTGAGCCTGAGAGGCCTGAAAGGTCTGAAATTCTTCCTCCAGACTGCAGAGACGCAACTGCACGGTGTTTAAACGAGCTTCCAGGTCCTTGAAAGAACGCTCGAGCTGAGACAGACGGAGCTCCACAGTCCAGGTTCGAGCCTCGGCCGCTCGTAGAAAGTCGACAGCGTCCTCCACCGAAGTGCCCGCGGGAGCTTCCATGCACCCCCGAGCAGCCTGAAAAAAAATCTAATCGTCTCTCTTGAGAACGAAGCTTGCGGTGTGACGGAAAGTGACTTCGCAATCAATGTTGTTTGAGTCACATGCAAGGAGAAACGGAAAATGCATGAAACGAGTTTGTTCCTCCACCGGAGGAAAAACATAAAAGTGCAAAACAGAAAATAAGGTTACCACACCTGCGGTGAGGCAGCACTTCGCTTCGATGTCTTCCTCCATACGCGCATCTCCGTCCTCCATGTCTCCAAACCCCGCAGGATC